ATGGTCCGATATACAAAATTATAAAAAAAGAAGTATTAGATTGTATATAGTAGTGTTTTATACAGGCCAGATCGAGCAGATATTTTTTATAAATCTGGCTTCAATTCGAAACTTCAATTCAGATCCAAAGCTAAATCTGGATCCAAATCTAATAGATTCAGATCCGAATCTAATAGATCTAAATCTAATTTAAATCAAGTTAAAATAAAACAAAAAATTGCTAAAGTTTAAAATTAAGCAAATTTACTTGCAAATGTATATAATATATGCTTTTAACTATACTATGCAGTACATTTAATTGGTGATTTGCTAGTCAGCCAGTAAGAGGTCATAGTGTAATATAATGCAGTTTACTTATAAAAATTAGAGTTTTGCAAATGTGGGCTGCATCATTCTAAAACTTTTTTTCGTACTAAGTTAACTATCTTTGGGCTTCTAATTAAAGTTGTAGAGCTTATTGAAAAAAATCTAATAGTTGTTAAATTGTTAAAATTGGCCTTGTAGATCACGAGATATCTTTGAAAAACATTTTACCAACTATGTAAAATTCTCTTTCAACAATAGTATTGTTAAAGAAAAATTTTACATAGTTAGCAAAATGTTTTCAAAGATATCTCGTGATCCACAAGGCCAATTTTAATGATTCAACTACCATTAGATTCCTTTTAACAAGCTCTATAATTTTAATTAGAAGCCTAAAGATAATTAACTTAGTATGAAAAAAAGTTTTAGAATGATGCAGCCCATATTCACAAAACCTTAATTTCTATAAGTAAACCATGTCACGTTATACTATAACCTCTTACTGGGCAATTAATATTATTTAAAGTTATTTATATAGATTTGGCTTTCAAGTTCTTTCTACCACGATTTTAAATACATTGCATTCAAACTATTTTTAAGATTTGATGTTATTCCATACTGGTATGCTAACTTCCTACAAATTGCATAGTTTTCTTTTTTTTTTTTTGAAGTATTTCTATACAAGAGATCTATAAAACATACTATTAATACAATATATTAAACAACAAAATATTAAACAATTACAACATTTTAATTATCTGGTATATATAAAATTACTACTATTTGATTTTTGTATTTGAAATAATTCACTAATTTCAGATTCATCTAATTGTAACTCTGGTTTATACTCTTTCTTATATATTGGTTTATGCTTTTTCTTATGCATTGGTTTATGCTCTTCTTGATACATTGGTTTATACTCTTCTTCACACATAGATTCATAATTTCCTCATAAAAAGATATAGGCGAAGTTGATATTACAAAGAAATAAATATTTTTGTTTCAAAAAAAAAAAAAAAAAAAAAAACAAAAAAGACAAAAAAAAAAAAAAAGAATTGTATAAGACTTATTTAAAAGGATCGTATAAGACTTATTTAAAAGGATCGTATAAGACTTATTTAAAAAGATCATATGAAACTTATTTAAAAGATAATGTGAATCTTGTTATTAAAAAGCTATACAAAATTCAAAAAAAATTAGTGTAATGATTTTTTTTTATTGTTTTGATCAGCATACTTATATATATTGTGATGACTGATGCTGAATTTAATTAATCTGATTAGTTAGAGTTAGGTGATCTGCAAAATTTAGCTAATAGGATTTTTTAAATTTAATATTAGCTAAAAGTTAGCATCAGCTTTGACATATATTATTACTGATCAATAAGTGTACAGTATAGTATTAAGTATTTGATTCAGATCCCAATGTAGATCTGAATTCAATAGATCTTATAAATTGTAAATCCAGATCTGATCTGATAGGGCAGATCTAATTCGGATTCAGATCTTTGAATCAAATTTGTGGAATACTAGTATATAGAAACTATC